CTTACCTTATTAAAAAATTTAAAAATATGGCCAGGCGAGGTGGCTCACGCCTGTAATCCTGGCACTCTGGGAGGCCGAGGCGGGCGGATTGCTCAAGGTCAGGGGTTTCCAAACCAGAGCCTGAGCAAGGAGAGCGAGACCCGTCTCCTACTATTAAATAGAAGAAATTATTGGCCAAATAATTATAGAGAAAAAATAGCAGCATGGTGGCGATGACCTGTAGTACCAGCTAACTCGGGAGGCTGAGGGCAGAGATTGAATTGCTTGGGAGGCCCAGGAGTTTGAGGTTGCTGTGAGTAGCCTGCATGCCACGGCATCACTCTAAGGCCTGGGACAACAAAGCGAGACTCTGTCTCAAAAAATAAATAAATAAATAAATAAAAATAAAAATATATGTGCTATATATGCTTATTCTAGAAAATGGAGAAATGACACAGAGAAGGAGAAAAGAAATAGTCATGTTGACATGCTTCCTCCCAGGCTTTTGCTTTGTGTGAGTGTGTGTGTGTGTGGTTGTGTGTGGTGGTGTGCACTCACATGGTCTCACTGCTAATTACACTCTTTTGAAATTTAGCTCTGGAGCAGAAGCACTTTCCCACGTTATGATAAACTCTGTAATAGACATCCTTTGTTTGGCTGCCTGGGAGGGCGGCCCCTTGGCCAATTCTGCCATCTCTCAGGGGAACCAGGGCGGAGGCTGGGCCTTGGCAGCCACACGGCCTGACCTTTCACAGTCCCCACCCAGCACCTGCAGGCATGTTCCTTGGAGGAGGGCCAGGAGGCCATTTTGGTTAGATAGCCAGGTTGCCAGGTCGAAAGTAAATTAAAAAAAACACTTAGGTGTGTAGAGCGTGCCAGGGGGAATGTGGTTTGGAAAACTGAGCTGGGTTCTTCTGAAGTCGCCCCTGGCGACCGTAACCCAACAGAGCCCAGAAGGGTAGGAAATAAAGAGCCACCGCCTGCCCGTAGACAGTCAAACTTTTACCGAGTGCCCACTGCGTGCAAGTCAAGGGAGCAGAGGTGCCATCAGACACAGCCCCTGGGATTGCAGTCAGGCACTGACTCAAACTAAGAATGACACTGGAGAATGACACACGCACACAAAGGTCCGCTAAGCGCCCCAGGGAATGCAGAGAGAGCCAGGAAACGTCTTAAACCTGGGTCCTGGAGGAGCCAGGACTGTCACTTTAACAGACCGAGACATCAGCTGAAAGAGGTTTCAGGCAGAGCCGTGAACAAGAGAAGCCCCTTCCAGGAGCTTCCAGATGTGTGCTGGGGGTGAACAGAGCCCAGAGGGTCCCCAGGGAACCTGGCAGATGCTTTCATCTTAAGAGAGGATTCTGAACTTTGCCTTGTGGAAGTGATGTGTTTTGAGGGGGGAGCTATTTATCAATGTGTTTGTTTGGGGGAGGGGACATTACTTGGCTATTTTGCTTTTTTTCTTCTTTTGAACACATCTTTTTCCCTATACAAGTAATGCATACATATAGCTTTAAAAGTATATATATATATACACATATACACACACACACATATATATATATATATATATATATATATATATATAGTAGATAATCAAAGTGCCTCTTAATGGCACCCTTCCCCCTGCCCAGAGAAAATCACCATTCACTATTGGATACAAATGCCTCCTTCAAATAGTTTTTTTGTTGTTGTTTTTTTGAGACAGAATCTTACTTTGTTGCCCGGGCTATAGTGCTGTGGCATTAGCCTCGCTCACAGCAACCTCAAACTCCTGGGCTCAAGCAATCCTTCTGCCTCAGCCTCCTGAGTAGCTGAGACTACAGGCATGTGCCACCATGCCCAGCTAACTTTTTCTATATATTTTTAGCTGGCCAGTTAATTTCTTTGTATTTTTAGTAAAGATAGAGGCTCACCCTTGCTCCAGCTGGTTTCGAACTCCTGACCTTGAGCAATCCTCCCGCCTCGGCCTCCCAGAGTACCAAGATTACAGGCGTGAGCCACCTCGCCCAGCCCTTCAAATAGTTTTTGCTATGTAAATGCTGATAGACACATACATATTTAAAAAAAAAAAAATGGGATCAGGCCGGCAAGATAGCTCACACCTGTATTCCTAGTACTCTGAGAGGCCCAGATGGGAGGACTGCTTGAGGTTGAGAGTTCGAGACCAGCCTGAGCAACAGTAAGACTCTGCCTATCTCTGCAAGAAAAAGAAAAATTAGCTGAGCATGGTGGTGCACACCTGTAGTCCCAACTACAGGGAGGCTGAGACAGTAGGATCACTTGAGGCCACAAGTTTGAGGCTGTGACGAGCTATGACCACACCACTGCATTCTTGCCAGGGCTAGAGAGCAAGAGCTTGTATCAAAAAAAAAAAAAATACAAAATTTGAACTTGCCTTTTTACCTAGCGACATATAAAAAATTGCTAACATTTTGTCTTTATTATAGACCAGCACTGTGCCAAGGGCTTTTGTGGATTTTTTTTTTACACACACACACACACACACACACACACACACACACTATCACAGGTGCGTGTGCGCGCTCTCTCTCTCTCTCTATATATATTATATATACATATACTGTTTTAAAGTCAAATCGCATGGAACTGTCATCTTTGTTTTAATGTAAACACAGCATTCTGAGAGGGCCATGGTCTATAAATAGACCCTTCTCCATGGGCAGTTGGGCTGCCCTCCCTGGCCTCCTGGCCTCGGTGTGCATTTCACAGCTGCTTTAGGGCCGGATATGAGGAAAGTGGAAACCTGCCTTGCCAGGGGCCTCAACGCCAGAGGGGCTATTTCTGGAGCTGCCTGGTCCAGAGTGACTTCAACTAGAACTCTGGCCCTGAAAGGAAAAAAATGACCCAACTGTCTCTAAGAACTAAAATTGTTAGCATTCTAAAGACAGATTAATTCAGAAATTATAGAATAGTTTTAATTACAACTCCCAAAGTGGTAATAGGCATTTAGCTTACAGTACAGATATTTACCGTTTGTGAGGATTAAATAAGGATGACAGCATTGCATGTTTTATTTTTTCCTTACCAGTTATTATACAAAGCCCAATAAAATGATTGCCTCTCCCCCTTTCCCTAATACCTACCAGCTTTGCCATGGTATGAATACAAATCCCCAACACAATAAGCACCCTTTCCTTCAACACAGGGAAGGAGGTCCAATCCTAAACAGTGGCTTTGTGACCACAATCAACATGAAGAACCACATTTTACACCATGTCCCTGTAATGACCTACACACACGCAGGAGTGACAGCAAAACATTTAACCCAAAATTGGACAAATGTAGAAGACACGAGAGGTAGAAACCTTCCAGTGAGTTTTTACCAGTAAACAAATTTGGCAAAAGGTAGTTAAATTTCACGGAAGGGTTTTAAAAACCATTAATTCTCATAGTCAACCACAAATTGTTGGGACCATGTAGGAGTAAAAAGTAACATTTATTAAGCATCTACGCTGCACAACACACAACACTAGGTATTGTGTCAAAAATAATGATTAACAAGAATTAGTCTATCCCTCCCTCTTGTAACCACATACGATGGCTGCAAATGTAAAATGAGATTTTTTTCAGTGATCCTAAAACACATTTGTATCAAAGTAATAGCTTGTTATACCTCTTTTTCTTTTCTTCGATGTCTCTGCTGGAGAAATGGGAAGACTCTTAGGTCTAGAAAAAATTGTTGCTTATCTCTCCATACTCAATGCCATAGCCCAGTGACAGATTCATGATATGAATTAAATTTGCATTTATTTCTCACTTGTCATCAAGTACCCAGGCTGGCACTTACAAAATGGTTTCCAATAGAAGTATGTTGGTAAGTAATTTTTTTTAAAAAAAATCAACAATGTGTACATCATGAGAGGCGGATCATCATCAATACAGTTACCAAATTTGTGTGTGTGAAAAGGTACGTACATATGTTTCAACAATAAGATCTTCAGACTTTGCAGTGCTCTCCAATATCTATTCTGTTCTGTTCCATTACTTTAAAATAATACATTGGGGCTGTGACCATAAGCAAGGGATATATTCACCAAGGTCATGTATGTGAATGTGTATATACCTGTGTTCAAGAAATAAGATCTTGGCCAGGCGTGGTGGCTCACGCCTGTAATCCTAGCACTCTGGGAGGCCGAGGCGGGTGGATTGCTCAAGGTCAGGAGTTCCAAACCAGCCTGAGCAAGAGCAAGACCTCGACTCTACTATAAATAAAAAAGAAATTGGCCAACTAATATACATAGAAAAAAATTAGCCAGGCATGGTGGCACATGCCTGTAGTCCCAGCTACTCAGGAGGCTGAGGCAGGAGGATTGCTTGAGCCCAGGAGTTTGAGGTTGCTGTGAGCTAGGCTGACGCCACGGCACTCACTCTAGCCTGGCAACAAAAAAAAAAAAAAAAGAAATAAGATCTTAAGCTAGGTGCGGTAGCCCACGCCTGTAACCCCAGCCACTTGGGAGGCCTGAGGCTGGGAGCTTGAGACCAGCCTGGACAATATAGCAAGATCCTGTTTCTAAAAAAGATAAATAGACAAGTTAGCCAGGCATGGTGGTGCGTGCCTATAGTCCTAGCCACTGGGGAGGCTAAGGCCAGCTTAAGCCCAGGAGTTTGAGGTTGCAGTGAGCTACCATCGTGCCACTGCTCTCCAGCCTGAGTGACAGAGTGAGACCCTGTCTCTTGCAGAAAATAAAAGAAAGAAGATCTTTACAATTTGCAAAGTTCTCCAATATTTTCTATTTTATTCTACTCCATTTCATTTCTTAAAAAAAATGTTGGGTAAGACTCACTAAAAGATTTTCACAACCCAGAAGGTATTTGAAAAACATTGCTCCAGGGTAATAAAACTTGTTCCAAACCAACAAAATCCTCCCACTTTAACAAGCATATTTTCAGATCTAGAATTCAGAGCACTAGCTGGGTTTTAGAAACACAGGGAAGACCCCAACCAGTGACCCCAACCCACCATCCCTTGTGGCAGGTGGAACAGCTGGTTCACTCACCTTGACATGGAAGGAACTTGCCGGGGACCCGCTGGAGCCATATCTCTCATTTTTCGTTAGGTGGCCGTAGTAGTTATTAACCTTGGAATTGACATTCTGGTTTGACCTGGGGTCATCAGTGATGGGGCAGATGTAGTAACCTTCCTCATCATCACTGTCCACATCAGAATCACCATCGTGGCCAGCCTGGGAGGACCGGCCGCCATCAACGCCTTCCAGGCGGAAGATGAGGTCTTCGTCTGCCATGTTCCTGGAGTGCCCGTTTTAGCCAAGGGGCACGGGGAACAGCCAGAGTTACCGGGCAAATGCAGTGGCGAAGGTCCTGCAAGGGAACGAGAGCCAGAGAGTGGGTGCTGCTGCCCAGAGGGCGAGAGCTCGCTGGGCACCTCACCCTGAAGGCAAGAGCCGGCACACTCAGCGAAGCCTACAGCTAACTTTGGGGGAGGCAGCTGGCAGCACCCAGGAACATGTTAAATGTCCAAACCCGTCCACCCAGTAATTCCACTTCTAAGAAATCAGCGTTTGGAAATGTCGGAACAAGGTAGGGAAAAGAACTGCTCCTTAAGCAACCAGAGTGCTCTTTCTAGAAAATAAATCAGATCAAGTCTCTCCTCTCTGCTTAACACCCCCAGCAGCTTCCCTTCAATATTTATAATAAAATCCAAATGCCTTATTAAGGCAACGAGAGCTGCGTTCATCTGGCCTCCTGCCCACTCCTCCTGCGGTCCTGGCCGCTCTCCAGGCACACTGGGTTTCTAGCTGTCCAGCGAACTCATCAAATTCATCCCCGCCTCAGGGCCTTTGTAGTTGCTCTTCCTTTTGCCTGAAACAACCTTCCTACAGTGGGTTCTTTCTCATAATTTAGAGCCCAGCTCAAATTATGGGTCAGAGAGACAATTTCTTTCTACACCCTAAAATACTGTGTGACTGTTAGAAAGGGGACGCTCTGGCTGGGCACAGTGGCCCACACCTATAATACCAGCACCTTGGGAGGCCAAACAAGGAGAATGGCTTGAGGCCAGGAGTTCGAGACCAGTCTGTGCAACATAATGAGAACCTGTATCTATAAAAAGTAGAAAAGTTAGCTCGGCATGGTGACAAGTGCCTGTAGGGAACTATGATCGCACCACTGCACTTCAGCCTGGGTGACAGAGCAAGACCCTGTCTCTTAAAAAAAAAAATAAAAAAATAGGTAAACAGTTTGAATAAACATTTCTCTGAAGAAGATATATGCATGGCCAATAAGTTCATGAAAAGATGCTCAACATCATTAGCCATTAGGGAAATACAAATGAAAGTTATACCCACTAAGATGGATATAATTTAAAGAATGGAAAATAACAAGGGTCAGCAAGAACGTGGAGAAATTAGAACCCTTACGCACTGCTGGCGGAATGCAAAATGGTGCAGCAGCTTTAGAAAACAGTCTGGAAATTTCTCACAAAGTTAAACATGGAGTTACCATATGATCCAGCAATTTCTCTTCTAGGTACATATGCAAGAGAAATGAAAACATATGCCCACATAAAAGCTTGTACACACCAGCCTGAGCAAAAGCAAGACCCCGTCTCTACAAAAACTAGAAAAAAAAAAGTTAGCCAGGCATGGTGGCGTGTGCCTATAGTCCCTGCTACTTGGGAGGCTGACGCAGGAGGATGGCTCGAGCCCAGGAGTTTAAGGGTGCAGTGAGCTATGATGATGCCGCTGCACTCTAGTCTGGGCAAAACAGCGAGACCGTGTCTTAAAAAAAAACAAAAAACTTGTACACAAGTGTTCATAGCATTATTCATAATAGCCAAAAGAGAAAACAACCCAATTGTCCACCAACTGGTGAATGGAGAAACAAAATGTGATCTATTCATATAAGGGAATGGTATCGGGCAACTAACAAAATGAAATAATGATAATGTGTTCCAACATGGATGAAACTTAAAACCAATAGGCCACGTGAAAGAAGACAGTCACAAAAGACTATACATATTGCATGATTCCATTTATATGAAATATACAGAGAAGGCAAATCTTTAGAAACAGAAAGTAGATTAATGGTTGCCTGGGGTTGGAGTTAGGCGGGGGTTGAGGGGAAATAGGGATGATTGCTAATGGGTATGGGGGTTCTTTTGAGTTGATAAAAATGTTCTAAAATTGAATATGGTGTTGGCTGCATGACTGTGATTAGACTAAAAGCCATTGAATTGTACATTTCAAATGGGTGAACTGCAAGCCATGTGGACTATATCTCAATACAGCCAGATCCAGAGGTAAAGAAAAAAAAAAAAAAGTCAAGAAAAACTGTTAAATTTAAAAAGCTGCAGAAGAACAGGTATATTATGGTGACCTTATTTGCATTAGAAGAAAAAGAAGACATCTGCACTGCACTAAAACTTTCCTGAAGGATCCATGGGACCTGCACAGCACTTAGAATGGGCAGCCATGGAGCTGGGAGCTGGGGGTAGAGGAAACTTTTTAAAAAATTTGTACACTTCTATATTCTGTAAATTTTTTACAAAGCTGGATTGCTTTCAACATAAAATAAATTAATTTAAAAATATTTTCAGATCAAGCCAATAATTTCAATTATTCTTGACAGCTCTGTCCATCGAGTAGGCTAAATCTGAGGCTTTGGCACTTTCTTGACAGCTAAGAAAGCAGGAAATATACTCATATCCTAACCTAGTACACACATATAAAATGGAAATTAAAATTGCAGGGAAACTACTTAGCCTTACTTTGAACAATGCACTCTTGCTATTTTCTATTCTACTTACGTCTCTTGTTTTTTCTTTCTGTTTATTCTTTTCCTTAACACACCACCCACACGCTGATTTCTCCACTGACAGTATGAAAGTCAGTGTCAATTGCCAAGTTTGTCTCTTACCCTCTGGGTAAGACACAGTCACAGGCCTGGATCCAATGCCAGAGCCACTGGATCCTGCTTGTTACCAAAATCTTCCCTGGGCTCTGGGCCTGCTTCTCCTTACTCTTAGCCACTTTGGTCAGTCCTTGGCCAGAATCCCTGCTGACCAGGACAGTGTGAGCTTGAGCTGCCAGCAAGTCCCTCCAAGTGAGTAGGCTCTGGGGCCCGGGATGTTGCCAGGGGAGGAGACAGAACCACAGCATCAGCCTACAGACCTCCAGGCAGTGTAGCTCAGTGGCTAAGAGCACAGATTTGAGAGCTGGGCAGCTGGGGGTGCAAATCCTGGCTCTGCTGCTGGTGACCCTGGCAAATTTTCATCTCACCAACTCCCCCATTTTACAGTGTGGGGAGCTGAGTGGCAAAGTGGCCTAAATGGGGCTTCACAGTTAGTTCACAGGGGAAGTAGAACCAGAACTGTAGCCCTTGGCCATGTCCCACCACAAACCTGATGTTCTCATCGCTGGGAAATGAAAGTAGCTACAGACAAGCAGCTGCGACCTTGCCTGGCACAGTGCCTTATAAACAGCAGTCAATTGATACGCATTCCAGAACTGAGCATTTGTGATCTGTTTTATGGCTTTCAAGTTATCATAAATTTGCTCTTAAGGCAGCTGTGGCAGCACCAACAGCTGTTCGCTGTTTTTTCCTTCATAACAGAACCATCGATTTTTGGCTAAGCACATGGCCACTCAGAATAAGGTCTACATTTCCCAGACTTCTTTCCAGCTAGGTGTGACCATGTGACCAGGTTCTGGCCAGTAAGATGTAAGGAGAAGGGCTGTGTACAACTTTAGGGGAGGTTTTTAAAGGTAGGCAGTGTGATTTTCTGCTTACCCTCCTTCCTGCCAGCTGGAATGCAGGTGTGATTGCTGGAACTCAAGCAGCTATATTAGACTACAAGGTAGAGTCATGTGCTGAGGTTGGCAGAGCCATGACACAAAGACAGCCTAGCTCTCTTACATCATTGGGCGGCATAATAGTCCTGGATTCGCAATCTCCATAAACTTGTATAATCTACTGTAATTTTCTTTTTTCCTTACTCCTTGCTAATCCTATCTGATCTAATAGTCCCTTCTCTCCTATATCATAAAAAGTAACATCCTAGGCTGGGCGCAGTGGCTTGTACCTGTAATCCTAGTACTTTGGGAGGCTGTGGCAGGCGGATGGCTTGAAGACAGGAGTTTGAGACCAGCGTGAGCCACATGGTGAGACCCTGTCTCTCAAAAACAGAAAACTTAGCCAGGCATGGTAGTGTAGATCTGTAGTCTTAGCTATTGAGGAGGCTAAGACAGGAGGATCACTTGAGCCCAGGAGTTCCAGGTTGCAGTGTTCTATGATCATGCCACTGCATTCCAGCCTATGTGACAAAGCAAGACCCCATCAGAAAAGAGGAAAAAAGAGAAAAGAAAGAGAAAAGAGAAAAGAAAAGAAAGAAAAAGTCACATTCTTTATGACAAGCTGACGCCTGGGTCTCAACCCAGAGTCCTAACTTGGTAGATGCTCCCACATTTGCACATGAAGACTGGGCACCTGGGGGATAGTGGATTCCCCCAGGCAAGTAAGGAACCCTCATCAACGCCATGACACCAGCCAAGGCACTTGGCCTCCTAGGAATCTATCTAACCTGGGCCTCCTCAGTCCAAAGGAGCCTGCTTCTGTGAGCAGAGAGCCTAGGACCTGGAGTGGGACCCCAAGACATCAAAATTCTCTAGAAGGTTTCCTCTGCCCTCGCTCAGGCATCCACATCTTCCCCTCCTGGTCCCTGTTTCTATGGAAAGGCAGAGGAGTGAAGTTCTGAGTCAGAAACACCCGAGTTCAAGTCCCAGCTCTGCTACTAACTAGCTGTGTGACTTCACCTCTCCAGCTTCAGCTTCCTCACTTATAAACCGGGATGCCCAAGTGTACCCATCCCATTAACTCAATAACTATGTATTTTCGGTCAAGCCCTTGGTCAATCTGCATATCATTTTTATTATCATAAAGGGGGTTGAGGCTTGCTTAGGCCCCATGGTCGTCTGGCTAGTAGCACACAGCCAAGCTGTTTCAGGAGTCCTCAAGGACCAAACTGTTTTGTGCTCTGTCCACGGGAACCTCTGCTCTCACTGAGTCTTCCTATAAAGGGCTGCTGTGGCAGTCATGGCGGGAGGAGGTGGCAGGAAACTATGCTTGCAATGCTTGACCCTGCTGGTCAAGCCACAGTAGCTGCTGGTCCTCCTCGGGTGTCACCCTCATCCCCAAGAGCCGCCTTCCTCCTGCAGAAAGAGGTGAGACCTCCTCACCCCCACTGCAGGGAGCCGGGATGCCAGAGCCAAGGTGGCCCACCCCCAGCCAGCCAGTACACGCACCAGCATGTGCCCGGCACGGCAGAACCCGCAGGTCCTCGACTGTACCCACGGTGGACGTGG